TTCTGTGGTGGTGATTCCCTAGGAAATTCCGTAGTGGTCATTCCCTAGCAAATTTTGTGGTGGTGAATCCCTAGTAAATTAGGTGGTGGTCATTTCGTACCAAATTCCGTGGTGGTGATTCCGTAGAAAATTATATCGTGGTGAATCCGTAGCGAATTATGTTTGATGAGTTACTAGCAAATTTCATGGTCATGAATACCTAGGAATTTTCGTGGTATATTATATACCAAATTCCATATGGACCGATGGATAATTGATTTATAAATTATATCCAAATTATTTTGTACTAATATATGAAAAACAAAAATAACAAAAAAATAAAACCATTATATCATAAAATAATACAATAATTATTTATTACACGGAAAAAGGAAAGTTGCTAAAATAAAATAAATACTCTACAATAAACATATATCAAGCTACTATTATTGTTGCTTTGTGAAGACATTAATAAGATCCAATGCAGTTTGAAGTTGTTTTTCAAGATGCCCAACCCTTGCGTTGTTTTCTTCTTGTTAGGCGTTCATCTTTTCTTTAAGCTCTTCGTTTTTGTTGTTTTTGTATAGCAACAAGATCCCTTATTCTTCTATTACATCATTTTTTTCGGAATGTAAGATACATCTGTTTTACAGTTCCTGTTAGGAACTGCCTTTGCAAAAGAGTATAGTCTGTAAAGTCTTTTTTTTTTCATGACCATCAACAACATCATAAAATAGATTGTCCTCCTCAAATTCAACACGTTTAGCTTCCAACTCTTCCAGTTTTTCTGTATACGCCGCCTATAAAATAAAAATAATATAACTTAAAAGATATGAAATTTATGAATGATATTAATATAAAATTTTAACACTAAAATGAATATTACATGAATTTGTCTATCTTTTTCATTTGTGAAAGTGACTCCATCGTGATTCTTCGTGTGTATATACAGGAACAATTCACTATGGGGTGGATCAAGTCCTAATTTCCTCTTCTACATAAATACCATATAAAATGTCAAATATATAGGTAAAATATATAAACATTGATACGATGTACCATTTAAAAATTTAACAAATCAGAAGCTATCTTCAAATGAGTTGCAGATCCAACATTATGTGTAGGTTTTGCTACCCCATTAGCCACATCGTTAAACCTATTTTCCTTGTTCTGCTCAGATTTTAGCTTGTATTCTTTTGTATTCTATTTTAATTGCTAGGAGATCCAGACTTCCTGTGGGACATGAGCTGGTTTAAAGCCATGTTTGTTTCTTTTTAGGCTCCGCATGTTGAACACTATCGACCATAAATTTATGCCGCTTTCCTTGCCCAAGCTTGCCTCACCAGCAAGTCTATTGTTTCATCCCAACAACATTTTTTCTACATATTAACAATATAAACATAAGTTTAAGGGTAAATGTTTACCAAACAACAATTTATCACATATAGTTAATTACTTAAAACTCCTCCCAATACAATTCGCGCATTTCTTTGCTTACTTTTCCCCAAGCGTACCCTTCTGGATCTACTCTTTGTTTAAAGGACTAACTAATAATGTGTGCACAAGGGCCTGGTCACATTAGTCTGGAAGTAATCATGTGATGTGTTAAGTTATGAATTAATATGTACGTGTAAACCAAAAGTTTATGCATAGAAAAAGTTGTAATTAAGATTTGATTGGTAACTCATGTATTTTCCAAACATGAACAGTTAAACGTCCATTTGGTCCACAATCTTCAGAGGAATTGTTTTCACCTTCTACACTTTCCACTACAGATCCTTTCATAGTTGGTTGTGTTGATGATGGGGTAGATTCTAGGATAGGTTTTGTTGATGGAGTATCTTCTGGGGTAGTTGTTGGGATAGATGTATATGTTGAGGATGTGGTAGTTCCTTTACTTAAGGAGGGTATGGTAGTTATTATAGTTGTGGAGGAGGGTAGTGTAGATGCAGGTTTTGAGGTTGTGGTAGTAGATACAGGTGTTTATGATGTGGTAGTGGGTGTCGGTGTTGAGGATGGTTTAGATGATGTACGTGCTAAAGTTTTGGCTATAGATGTGAGTATTGAGGATTGTATTGTTCCAGTTTCTGAAGTTTTAGAAGTATTTTCTAAGGACGGTGTGGATGTTGTAAGTAATGTCGAGGAAGTGGTAGTCATGATTGATGTTAATGATTTAGGTACTAGGGTTTTGTTGGTAGATGTTATAGGTGCTTTGGATGTGGTTGTTGGTATTGGGAAGTCGATTTCCCCATCTTGTAATTGTCTGTTTATGAATTTTACAGCTGAAATCCTATTGTGTTTCATAACCTCTGGTGCAATGAATTTAGTTGGCTTCACACCGGATACTCCTTTAGTTTTCGAGTTCAACATTATTCTTGATTAAAAATTAATAAAAATTGTAGTCAATACCAACGTATTAAAGATGATAAACTACTTATGAGAAGAGAGAAACAAAAAATAAAAATAAATTATATATAAAGGCATTACTACGCATGCAAACATTTGAATACAATCAAAACCAATTTACTTGTAATTTAAGATGATAATATACAAGAAAGTGATCAGAGAACAAGAAACGATCGTCACGAGAACAGTAATTTAAATAAAAATAAATTTTAGATGAGTGACAACCTATATCGCCAAAGTTAGTGCACAAATGTATAATGAACAAATATTTCGATCAATTAGCCACCGGAGATGATGATTACAGAAAATGTAAACCCTATTTCTAATCAGTAAACATACCGTAATATGCAGCGTAATCATGTGTAGGTTGGAGGGAAAGGAATTGTGAAATATTTTGAAGCTCCGCTAATGAAAAATTCGAACTGTGCTAATTACCACTAAATATTTAGTAATTCAAATTTATTAAAGTAGTTCCAGATTGATAGATAGGGTATATACATCTAGCTAACGTTAAGAAAGAACATAGATTAACGAGGCGTTCATAGTATAATTTTATTTTAAAATTATAAATGGGGATTAAACATTAATAAACTATACATCTTTATGCCTTTATGTTTAAACCAAAATTTGGATATAAAAGACGTATGGGTCATGTCAATATATATGGTAGTTGCTTATGGTGTGATGGTATCACCCAAGGATGACATACGGGTCATTGGTCAGCATGGTAGTTGCTTATGGTGTCATAGATGACATACGAGCCATTATTCAACATGGTAGTTGCTTATGGTTTGATGGTATCACCCATGAATGACATATAGGTCATTGGTCGACATGGTAGTTGCTTATGGTGTCCATTGTATCACCCATGGATGACATATGGATCATTGGTCAACATGGTAGTTGCTTATGGTGCCCATGGATGACATATGGGTCATTGGTCAACATGGTAGTTGCTTATGGTGTCCATGCATGACATACAGGTCAGCGGTCAATATGCTTGTTGCTTATGGTGTGAGGGTATCACCCATGGATGACATATGGGTCATTGGTCAACATTGTATTTCCTTATGGTTTCCATGGATGACATATGTGTCATTGGTCAACATGGTAGTTGCCTATGGTGTCCATGGATGACATATAAGCCATTGATCAACAAGGAAGTTGTTTATGGTGTCCATGGATGACATACGGGTCATTGCTTAAGATGGCAGTTGCTTATGGTGTGATGATATCACCCATGTATGACATATGGGTCATTGGTCAATATGGTAGTTGCTTATTGTGTCCATAGATGACATACTAGTCATTGATCAACATGGTAGTTGCTTATGGTGTCCATGGTATCACCCATGGATGACATATGGGTTATTGGTCAGCATGGCAGTTGCTTATGGTGTCCATGGATGACATATGGGTCATTGGTCAACATTGCTTATGATGTCCATGGATGACATATGGATCATTGGTCAACATGGTAGTTGCGTAGGGTGTCCATTGATGAAATGTGTTTCATTGGTCAACATGGTAGTTGCTTATGGTGTCCATGGTATCACCCCATGGATGACATACAGGTCATTGGTCAACATGGTAGTTGCTTATCATGTATAGGATGACATATGGGTCATTAGTCAACATGGTAGTTTCTTATGGTGTCCATGGTATAACCCATGGATGATATACAAGTCACTCGTCAACATGGTAGTTGGTTATGGTGTCCGTGGATGACATATGGGTCATTGGTCAAAATGGTAGTTGCTTTTGGTGTCCATGGTATCACCCATTAATGACATTATGAGTCATTGGTCAACATGGTAGTTTCTTATGGTGTCCATTGTATCACCCATGGATGACATATGGTTTAGTGTTCAACATGGTAGTTGCTTATGGTGTTCATGGATGACATACGGGCCGTTGGTCAACATGGTAGTTGCTTATGGTGTCCATGGTATCACCCATTAATGACATTATGAGTCATTGGTCAACATGGTAGTTGCTTATGGTGTCTATGGGTGACATATGGGCCATTGGTCAACATGATAGTTGCTTATGGTGTCCATGGTATCACCCATGGATGACATATGGGTCATTGGTCAACACAGTAGTTACTTTTGGTGTCCATGGATGACATATGGGCCATTGGTCAACTTGGTAGTTGCTTATGGTGTCCGTGGATGAAATATGGTAGTTGCTTATGGTATCCATGGTATCACCCATGAATGACATACAGGTCATAGGTCAACATGGTAGTCGCTTATGGTGTCCATGGATGATATGTGGGTCATTGGTCAACGTATATCATTTGTGCCAGTTGTGTATTAAAATAGAAATTGATTTTTCTTTTAATTATGACTTTTAACAAAACTACCCTTAATAATTAAATATGAGTCATTGTATGTATTAGGACAATTTGGCCATTTTATAATGGAACATCTTCTAGGCACCATAATGTTTTCTGACGAAACACATTGTTTCAGTTCTTCACTCTCATTTTGAGTCACTTGCAAACAACCCCAATTTCAAATTTCCGACAGTCAAAAAACCCCAAAATCATTTTTGCAGAATCTTTATCTTAGTGAATGTTTATTATTATGGAAGACAATACTTCTTCGAAGATGCAATCAAGAAATCAAAGGAAATCGCTAACAGACATGCCATTGGAAGTGATGGAGAAAATAATAGTCGACTTGGGAAAAATTTCAGTAGTCGAGGCTTCCATGATGAAGAGTGTGTATGTTTTGTCTTCGATCATTCTATTTCACAAGTGTATTTGAGTTGTCTTTATATTTTGGAGTGAATGCTGTGTTTCATTTGTAGTTGCAGATTCTTTAACGAGGCAAGAAAAATAAATGAAGTATATAAACATATGGATGTAAATGGATTACTATTTCACGGTTTGTCTGACCAGAAACATATAGTTGTCAACAAATACATAGAGATGAGAAACCCTAATATTCTATTCAGCAATGGATTGGTACGTTGTTATATATATGAATAGTATTAATTAATTTGTTTCTTGTTTTGCATTACTTTAACTATAAATTATGTGTTTAATTTTTTTTCAGATGAAGTTATTTTTCTTAGAAGCTGATCATGAAGGGAAAACGATGCTTGAAGAAGCATCTACAATGGGAGATTTGGATTTCAACATTTGTCCTGGGAATGATGGTGATGGCTGAAGGGAGACATAGGAACCAAGAAGTTTTGGACATATTGAACAATGCTTACCGTAGAGTAAAATCTAAGTGGAATCTTAGAGCAACTTGTTCTAAGGTTCATCTCAACTTAAATAGGGAGGGGAGGAAACTTATACACTTCCACGGCTTCCATAGAACTTGTGCAATGCATAAGTCTATAATTAGTGTGTTAGACGCTTTTGTGAATGGATACAAACGGGTGTTTAGGTATGAAATTTGTTTGTGGGATGCTTGTTTCGTTAGGTTTTCTAGGGAATTTAGTATAATTTATGAGTAGTTTGTTGATATGTACTTTCATATTATGACAATGAATGCTATGTTCATTCTTTTGGTTTAATATACGAATATATAGTAATTTACTTGATAAGTAATTACTTGATGTTGTTACTTGATTAGTAAATATGATGTGTTGTTAATAAGGGACTAAAAGAGTAATAGTTTGGAATGATGTTTGAATAATGTGTTTTGGACTTTCAATATTAGTGTTTATATTGTAGTGTGATTATAGTTGTTTGTAGCAAATGTTTGTTCTTTCCTAGTGCCAAATACATATAAAATACAATTGTAAAGACATAAACATACATGTATTTTATTTTTGATTTTGTAATTTGATTTAATATCAACTAGTGGAGAACCCATGCTTTGCATGTGGTAAAATTGTAAATGCATAAACATAGGGACTAAAATTGGCAACAAAGAAAATTTATTGTGGCTAAAATCAAAGTAAAAAAAGTTACTATAATCATAGGGACTAAAAGTGGCAACAAAAGAAAACAATTATGTCTAAAATCTAAAGTAAAAAAGTTTACTGTTAAAATCTTGTTCCACTTTTAATATATATATATATATATATATATATATATATATATATATATATATATATATATATATATATATTAATACATGAATATATACTAGTAATTTGGTGAAATGATAATATAAATGTATTACATTATGGATTATGATATATATATATATATATATATATATATATATATATATATATATATATATATATATATATATATATATATATATATATATATATATATATATATATATATATATATATATATACACGTGTGTGTGTTATTTTTGTCTTTTTTATTTCAATAATCAAAAGTCCACTATAGCTATAAAAGGTTATAATATTTGAATAATATGTTTTCACATAAATACCCTTAGTATCCAGATATTTAGAATGATTCCAGGGAGAATTTGGACTTTTTGCACTCTAAATTGTTAAGCTGCCATCATAACTCTGATGTCATGTCGGCGGTCCAGTTCTTCAACCAATCAGAACATCTCAACTTTTCTGGACGATAAATCTGGATACAAACACTAAAACCCCCAAATCTTCAAAGGATAATCATTCTCAAAAGCGACTCCTGTACTCCTCTCGACCAGATCAGCATAAAGTAAGTTTTTTTTCCATACCCTATTACACTGTGTTTCATAGTTACGCTTAATTTTAAATAAATTTCAATCAACTACTTCAATGTGTATTTTGTAAGTAGAATGTTGAATACTAGAATTCTTCATTCGTTAGATGATCTCCCACTAGAGATTGAGTCGAATATTTGTAGTATTAGGGCAGAATGAACGTAAGACATCGTCTCTGCAAGACTTTGGTAAATCTCAATAAACATCAACTAATGAATGTATATTTGATGAAATACAACTTTATTTATTTGTTATTTACTATTTATTTAAATTTTTGAAGTTCAAATAAGATGTCTAAAGCGGGGGGCTGATCCTTAAGTGTACAGAACAACATGCATTGACATGTTTAAAGGAATGGGTCCCAAAAATCTGAAAGCTGATTTATTTATACGCATATGTGCATTGCAAAATAACATTGAAGCCATGTCAAGACAAGGAATTGTAGGTGTAGTTTGATTAATTATATGTAATATATACCATTTATTAATATTTAGTGTCATTGATATTATATATTGATATTGTTATTTTGTCAACATGATGAGTGCTTTTATTATGGCAATTTTGATTTAGTATTGACTTTGTTGAGACAAGCAGCAGATGAAGAACATCTTGAGGCAATTTATTTTCATGGAATGATCTACATTTCAAGAGGGCATCATCAATGTTTTGAAGGTATGTATAGATGGTATATATGTAAATTATATATATATATATATATATATATATATATATATATATATATATATATAGTTAATTAAGGCATGTGTGTAGTTTGGAGTTAATATTTAGTTGTGTTGTGTTGTATAATATTTAATGTTGTATTGAAAATGATACTTTGGATTAATTGATGGACATTTTAATGCGTAAGTTTACAGTTACTTGATGCCTATTTTGGTTGGGCAGTTTTGGATGATCGAGAGTAAACGGGTGTTGTTGATAGTGCCAAAGAGTTGTTGTGGGCTGTTGATGTTGTTCATAGACTTACAACGAATAACGTCACATTCCAATGTAAAGAGCCACGTCATTCTGGTTAAAGGTGCATTTGCAATAGGCGATGAAGAGGATAAGGATCGACAAAGATATTGCATGGTTTGTCATTGGTATGTAGAGTATGGTAGGTTTTGTATATTTCTTAAAAATATAAATGGTTGATAATAGATTGGACATTGAATATTAGTGTTCATATTGTATTGTATATGAAGGTGTATACCACTATAATTTTATTTTGGTTTTATGTTTACATCATTATGTTAAAAGGGCATTTTAGTCATTTTTGCTTGCTATGTTGTTTGAGTAGGAAGAAGCATAGGTAAAACCCATCTTGTTTTTGTGATCAAGTATAGTAAATGGAATTAAAAATAAGTTTTTAATGAATTCGTTATTAAGTAAAATAATCTACATAGATTATATACCTTAACATGCCCGATTTTAAGGGTGTGTAAGAGGTGCAACCGCACAGGCCCCGAAAAAAATAGGGCCAGAGTTATAATAAAATTATATGGTTAATTAGTCATTATATACTATGTTTTTCAAGAAATTATAAACAACTTGATTAGCACAACTGGTTTAACCCCGAAAAAAATAGGGCCAGAATTCTAATAAAATATCTACTTTTATAATTCATTTTTACATTTTTAGCCATTAGTTTATGCCACATATTACTAATTCAAAAAAAATCATTCAAACCATATCTTAAAAATTCCATTGATCATAATAATAATTTATCCATAGAATAAGAAATTTAATTAAGCATACAACATCCCAACAAATGTCGTCACAAATTAGCTACACGTTTTATTTCATAGCAAAACAAGCAAACGAAATCATATTCCATAGCAAAATTCCCTAGAAAAATACCTACGAATGATACTTACCTAACAAATCAACTAGGAAGTTGGTTTCCATCACAAACTCAGTTGTATAGTAACCATGATAATTAATTTCGTAGCAGCAGTACAATGGAAATTGATTTTGTAACAATTGTCATTGGAAAATTGCTACGATTTTTTATTCCATAGAACTATCAGTAGCATAATGCCAACGGATATGGAGTCAGTAGCATTTTCCCTTGCAAGTGTCATTCTCGCTACCAGAAATAAAATCCGTAGACAATGTGGTATCAACATTGCTATGGAACGACTTTCCATAGCACAATCCATTGCAGATTAACAAATAAAATACGTTCCATAGCGACCTTCCCTAGAGAAATTGGGTTTTTCTTGTAGTGTAAGGAGAAACACACAAATTATAATAACATTAGGGAGATATTTAGCTTTTCATAGTAAAATAGTGAGAAAATGTGCTAAAAGATGCATATAAAATGCATCTAACACTTCCCACTAAAGAAGGTTCAGTGCAAACTTTACTTTCTGGTCCTCGAGACATGAACATGTGTAGAAACATCCCTCTATGTCAGATACTCATCTCAAATAGATAAATGAGTCCCTGTCCCCTCTGAACTCCGGAGGCTTTGTACTACTAAACTCTCGGTACTGCATCACCCCACCTCTCAAAAGTCCTACAATGATGATGACTGAAGTGGTTGCGACAATAACATCCTACATGAAGGCGGGCACAAAGCCCATAAAACTCATTAATTAGCATGGTCTTGACCACCCCAAACAACTACAAAATTGCCACTCTGATCGTCATGGCCACCTCAGCAGTAATGATCCTGTGGATCCTCGTCACTTAGACTTGTCCTCTCTAGGTAGCCAATGTCTAATCCTAAGCCTATGATGGTCAACATACTAAAACACACAACGAAAAAAGGTCAAACATTAAGATATAGAGCTCAAACACAGTATCCCTTCACCTATTAGTTCCTTAGTAACCTCGAAACTCTTTCTAATTCTCTTACGGATCCTGTGATTTCAGTAGTATGGGGCCACATTACCTTCCACGCATATTCGTAATTGAGTGAGAATTCATCTTAGTGTCCTAAGTTACTGCACTAGACCACTCCTAGGTGTACTAACACCTATATTATCCTAACAACTACAACGAACTTCCCACGCTACTAGAATCTCTACTGAAACTGATGGTTGCCTTCTTCATGCAATTTGTACACAATACGTGATCAAATAGAGTATTAAATAAATGAATCTACCCTAAGCCCACAACCAAAAAAGGACAAGTAAATAGGCTAAGTCAATTATTCTAAGGCTATGTAATCCTAACCGTATAAAATTATACAACATACACTTAACAATTAACAAAATCACATAGTACATAACAAGCAAATCCCAAGGTTATAAGGTATCATAGAAGTCAGGAAATACGGTCACAGAATTCCTGAAGGGATCCTTAGCTTATCCACTAACATACACTTCTAATAATTCACATATCAGCAAGCTCAAATTCAACATATATAAAAAGTATAAATATTTTGGGAATTACTTTCCTATTCAAGCTCTAGCTGAATGTACACAACATGTCCTCTTGTAAAACCATGGTTTAGTCAGAGATCCACATTCACAATCCCAAGTCAACAATCAAACAAGAACATGACAAGATAACAATCCCATGTTTCTAACCCAAGTGTTTATTAAAATTT